ACACGTGACTTTTTTGCAACGAAAATGCGGAGATTATGAAACCATGCGCGGTTCTTCTGCAGGGACTGGGCTTAGCTTTTCATAATGAGGTTTTCTCTGCTGATCTGTTTCAAGTCTACCTTCCACTAATCAGGCGGCGTTTGTCCCGGAGCCTGTCAACTAGAACCGAGGCTTCGCTGTGCCACGAATGACAAACGGGGGAGAGAAAAGGCCGGTGAGACACAGCAGCAGACGTCCAAACACACACTGTAGATCTGAGTCTATAGGAGGAAGTACCTCTGGGATTAAGATGCTGACGCTGTAATTGCACCACTCCTGGTTTGAGTCCATCTGGGGACCTTTTGTTACCCGTCATCTCTCCGGTCTAATCTCTAATATCCACGGTAGGAATACTGCAGCCTGTGTCTCGCTGTCGCCGTTGGGGAATTTCTAATCTTTATTTTGAATTTAAGTCGAGCACTGCCAGGATTGTTCATTGTTTCAAACAGCCGGTCGGGTTCTTGCTGTTTTCCTCGTGTTTATTTGGAAGTGTTACAAAATAGAGAGAGGGAGCGCAGAGGGAGAGAGAGAGGGGAGGATGATTTGTGACGAAGGAGACTGAATCAATAGGGAACGTAAAGGTAGACTCCTTAAACCACTTTAAGACCTTTACACCCAATCAATTGGATCTTCAGGTTTATCTGTGGGCAGCGACTGAAAGCTTTATATTCCTGTTCATTCACTGCTGTTGAGCTGCGATGATATATTTGTATATACATGAAGAATATATAAAAGTATAAAGAAGAGAAGTGTCAACGTCGGCTGTGTGCAGTTATCTTTATCTCAGATGTTGAATGTTTGAATGGTGCTGACCAATCAAACAGTAACGCAGTAAAGCGCTGTCGAGTCGTGCTGTGGGCTATGTATTTCTGCCTTTTAATGTTTGTTTATTAGGCGGCCGGGTGAAGCAAAGTAAGTAAAGTAAGTAAGTCAATTTAATTTATAAAGCACATTTAAGAACACAAGATTAAACTGACCAAAGTGCTTTGTACAGTGGATAATAAAGGACAAATAATACAGAAAAACACATTGGTGGATACTAAGACAAATACATATAGAAAAACCACATTGTTAGATAACTAAAAATTATAGAAAAACACATTGTGGATAACTAAAAACATAGAAAAAACACAGTTGTGGATAAAACTAAAAAAACAGGTAGGAAAACCACACAATTGTGGATAGATCTAATAAACATAGAAAAAACACCATTGTGCATAACTGAAAAAATATAGAAAAAACATCGTTTAGGCATAACTGAAAAAACATAGAAGAACACATGTGGATAACTAAAAATATAGAAAAACGACATTGTGGATAAAAGCGTAATAACTATAGAAAAACACATCTGTGGATAACTAAAACATAGAACAAAACACATTTGCTGGATAATAAAAAGTATAGAAAAACACCGATTCGTCGAGTAACTCCTAAAGACATACAAATCAATACAGAACTAAAACACATTGTCGGATAACTAAAAATGAGCAAATAACAGAAAGAACACACTTTTGTGACTAGAGAAGGCTAAGAAATACAAAATAATACAGAAAAACACATTGGTGGATAACTAAAAAGACAAATAATACAGAAAAACACATTGTGGATAACTAAAAATATAGAAAAACACATTGTGGATAACTAAAAACATAGAAAAAACACAGTTGTGGATAA